CAAACCTTTGTACCCACCGTGATCTCATCAGCTCCCCGTCCCTGCTCCCACCAGTGAGGACTTCAGCTGCCCGGTAAGGTCCCTGGTGACTCCATCCGTGAACAGAGGCGAGATTCCACTGGTCAGCCGAGGCGGCCTCTCATCGTTCCTCTCTGTGGGGACCTGCCAGCAGGTCGTTCCGCAGCCCTTAGCACGCAGAAGCCCTGCCTAAGGGTTGAGAGAGAATGGAGGGTGGATGGAAGAAAGGATGGAAGGAGGGAGGTTCTTTGTCTGGATTTGAGTTCTACTTTTTGGTGACGTTGCCCGTCTGAGTCTGCTGACCTCTGAAACCCTTCCTGTGTTCTGGGTGTTGGCGAGGGGGGTGGCGATGGCTGAGACGGGCTGCCTGCACCCCTAAACCCATGGTTCCTGTTGGCTTCCAGAGGAGCTTGTCCATGGCCGGCAGCATGTGGAGTGGGAGGGGCTGGGGTGTTGGTGGGACCCAGGGAGGGGAGGCCTCTTAGCCCAGTGCAGGGGACAGAGAGTGGGGCGAGGGCTTCGGCACCCAGCTCCCTGCTGCTTCCGCTCCCGGAGGGACCCCGGACCCCTCCTCCAGGCAGTGGGCGGGGGTGGGCACGGTGCCCTCTGTCTGGCCTGGCTTGGCCGCTCCTTTCCTGCCCTGAGGGCACCCTCTCCCTCTCCCTGGGTTCCGAGGACCTGAGAGGCCATTTTCTAAGCACCTCTGAGCGCCAGGACCTGTGCTCCCAGCAAGGGGGTGGCCTTTCCTCGCCCCAAGGACCGGAGACCACGGCGGGACTGGAGCTGAAGGCCCGGTGGAGCTGTCCCCGAGCCAGGGCTCGGCGTGGCGGTCTGTGCAGTGCCAGCTTAGTAACTGGGTTGCCCAGGCTCAGTAGCCCCGGCAGCCTTTCTGAGCTTCCGATTCTTGGTCTGTAAGATGGGGTAACCGGACTCCCTCCCTCCCAGGGCTGTGGGAGGACGAGCTGGGGTGGTGACCGCTGCACCCGTGGACCTGCTTTGCTGGGTCCTGGGCAGTGGGGCTGGTCTACTGGCCAGCCTAGCCTGGCAGGGGAGGCTGGATTGGAGGCAGAGAGCAGATCTTAGTGTTACATTTTTGACAAATGGAGGTGAAATTCACATAATGTGCAATTAACCATCTGAAAGTGTGCATTTCAGTGATATTTAGTGCATTCCTAATGGGCCACCAACAGCTTTCTCTAGTGTCAAAACTAAAATGTAATTTTAAGGAAGGACAGATGGAATTTGGGTAGAGGACGTGGTCCCACTCGGACCCTGACCCTGAGCGGTGGCCCGCTTCTCTGAGCCCCAGGTTTTATGACTATAAATAACGAGAATAGCAGTCATAATGACAGCCGACATTGTGGGGCACTTCGTGGAAGCATTTTAAAAATATGAAAACTCTTTTAATTTGCACATCCACCCGCAGGGGTAGATGTCACTGTATCATCCATTTCACGCAGCCTGGGGAAATTAAGGAACTTGGCCAAAGTCGCAGAGCCACCGAGCGTCCAAGCCAGGGTTTGTCTCTGTCATCTAGGGACCATGGCGGGGGACTTGCCTGTCAGAGGCCTTGTCCCCGGCCCCACTCCAGTTTCTAGCAGGGAGGAACCTTCAGCCCAGACTGGCTAAATTAAGTCTGAATTAATTAAAATGAAATAAGATGAGAGCTGGGGTTCCTCAGCCTCACCAGCCACATTTCCAGGGCTCAGTAGCCGCAAGTGGCCAGTGGCTGCTGCAGCGTCCAGCGCAGATCTAGGACACGTGATGGACAGTTGGTTCCGGGGCCGGTGGGTGTCATTCGCCTGATCCGTTTCCGGGCTGTTTGGGATGGCATGCAGGGCAGTGGGGACGCGCTCTCGGGGTCTCCTGGTGGCCACAGTCCTGCTGCTCTGCCTCTCTGTCGTGGGACTTGGGGTTGTCGCTTGTCCTCTGTGCCCCACGAAGGCTGAGAGAAGACTCTATGCGTGAGGGTGCGTGAAGGCGAAGCGGTGAGCACTCACAGGGCGCCCCCCCCCCCACCCGCCGGCGCCTCTGGGCGGGGTCAGCCTTGGCTGTCATTAGGAGCAAAGATAACTGATTATGGTCACATGCCCGTGTTTTAGGTTTCTAGCCATTGGTCTTAGCTTCCAGGGCATCGAGTGAGATGCTCATGTGGGGGAGCAGGTGACACGGAGGCCTCTGGTCACCAGGGGGTGGCCTGGGACCTGGGGTGGGGGCCAGGCCTTGAGCTCAGCCCTACGTGGGAGGAAGAGGCCCCCCACCAATGCTGTGCGGGAGGATTTTCAGCGAAGTCCAAGAAGAGGCCGGTGGGCTCTGGCTCGACTGTCACCGTGCCCAGAACCCTGAGGTCTGTCTGCATCCTCCTTGGTGAACCCAGGTGACCACTGCCAGCAGTGTGGGGGAAGGGGCACCCCTCGATGGTGAGAGGAGTGACGGGCATGCTGGTGGACGGCAGAAAGCGGTCTGGAGACGCTGGTGACATGGGGCGGGGTCAGCTGCCTGTGCTCCACGCCTGGGAGACCAGGCAGGATGGCTTAGGGTGGCACGTGGTGTCCTCGGGGCTCAGGGCTGTGCTCACCCTCCTTCCTAATCCTGCCTGCTGCCTTTGTCCTGTGAAGTTAGAAACAGTGCTTATATGGTCAGTCCGAGAGCTGACACCTGCTATGTGCCAGGTTCTGGCACTGTGGATACAGTAGGAAGTGAGGTGACAGTCCCCGCCCACGGGGGGATCCTGCTATTTGGGGAGACAGGTCTACACGTCCAAGTTCTCCTAGGTGGAGATGCTGATTTGGGGCTGGGAGGGCTTCTCTGGGTCCAGGGGAAGGCCGGAGGTGGAATGGCGGGGGAGGGGTCTGCAGGAGGCCTTGGGGCTGGCTGGCGCTGGAGGGCCCGGTGGAAAGCGGGCAGGCACCAGGGTTCTGGCTCTTGGAAGTTTGTCTAATGTGTATTTGAGATCCGTCGCTTGGCTGCTTCAGGAGGATAATTTGGGGCGGGGGGCGGGGGCAGTGGATGTGTGCAGGTAAATGCCGCCGTCCTGCTTTCTGTCTGCCCGCCTGGCAGGGAGGTGGCCTGGCAGGGAGGTGGGCTTGGCATGCCCATTTCACAGAGCTGCCCGAGCTGCCGCCAGGGCGCCGTTGAGCCCTGTGGCGGGTGGGAGCCGTTGGTGGCATCCGGGTCTGGGGTGCTGCTGGGCGGGTTTCACAAGCCTGGGCAGGGGCAGGCCCGAGGCAGGAAGAGCTGGTGGCTGATGTAAGCCCTTGCGCAAACCTCTGGCTGCCGGCTTCCGGAGCCTTCCACCCGTCTGCCTGCCAAGGAGGAAGCCGGGGGCCTGGTAGGGCCCAGAGGCCCTGATGCCCGGGCTGGGGCTGCACGAGTGGACTGGCCGGCCACCATGGCCCTGGGTCCCGAGGGCTCGGCGCTGGAGTCCGGTGAGGGGGCTGCGAGGGGCTGGGCTGGAGTCCGGGGGCCCTGCCACGGGTGGTGGCATGGTGGTGCGTGGAGCCAGAAGTTACACGCTGCGTCACTGCACTGAGGACCACGGTGGAGGCCCGCTCCCTCGCAGCCTGCTTCCCCACGTGCGCCCCAAAGGGACTGGGCGGATGTTTTGGGGTCCTCTGCCTCCAAGAGCTGGTGAGCCAGCACCTGTTGTGTGCAGGCCCTGCCTGCCCGCGGGGCTGCTGGGGACCCAGAGGTTGAGTGGAGCTCTGCGAGCCACTGCTGGCCAGACGGGGGCCGCCTGGGCACCCGAGTCCCCACTGCAGTCACTTCACTCCGGGCCGTCGCAAACAGTGCCCACCTCACGGGGACTTGGGGAGGTTATTCTGGGGGCAAACAGGAAGCCCTTCACGGTGCTCGGGCGGCCAGAGCTGGCCCCTGCTGGTTGCCTGGTGACACCGGTGCCCGGTTCCGCCTTCCGAGGGCACCGCAGGCGAATGGAAATCACCGGCCTGGTGCTTTCAGTGGATGGGCGCCTCCGCCGTTATCGGCTCTTTACTGTTATTAAAGGTTTGCCTCCTCCGCTGCAGTTCTCGGGGCTGGCATTATTATCCCATTTTGCTGATGAGCAAACTGAGGCCAGGGAGGGAAGCTTCTTGCTCGTCTCGCAGGCCCCCTCTGGCCTGTGACCCAGAGGCCCCCAAGGTCTTCCCCCGGGGGGTGGGGAGTGTGCATCTCGAGGCACGGCACCGGGGTGGCAGGAGTGAGGAGGCGTCTCTGGGTGTGGGCCAGCCATGGGGTGTGGCAGGTGGGTGGGGTTTCACCCAGGCCCTAGACACTGTCCTTTCAAGCAGCAGTCAGACACCACGCCTCCCCACTTGAGGGACCTTGAGTAAGGGGTTCTCCTCTCCCGAGGGACAGCACCCCGGGACCGGGCTTCCTGGCACCGATATCAGCTCCCATGCTCACAATTCTTACTCATTCACTGATTTATTCACTAAATCACCATAGTTTTGGGACACGCTGCCGGGTGTGCATTCTGAGTCACTGTTCACTGGCTGTGGGACCAGGCACGGGCCAGCCGAGGATTTGGCAGGTCTGGGCCTGTCCAGGGCTGCTGTGAGGTCCTGGGAGAGGTCATCCTCCAACTCACGGGTGTCCTCCCCGGTCAGGAGCCCAGACAGCAGCCGAGGTTCGGACTGTGAGCTCCCCTCATCCTTTGGCCTTGGGAGGGTCCTGCCCACCACGGAGCCTCAGCCCCCGTCTGTGGACGGGGAGACCCGCCCCTGTGCTGGGTGAGGGTCTGCTGTGGAGGCTTCCTTCGAGCCTGTCCCCTGGGGTCTGACTTGCTGTTTTCTCAAGGGTCACGTCCGCGTGAGGTAACCTGGGCCCATCCAAGGGCCTAGGGGTGGCGTGGCACGTTTCTTCGGTGTCCCTGCCAGTGCCAGCTCCTTGCAGTGGGATAGATGGGGGGAGATGGGATCTTGGGGTGGTGACCAGGTGGCGGTGGCCTGCTGGCCACCTGACAGCCCCCCTTCTCTCTGCAGGCGAGGCCTTCCTGGGCAGCTTTGTGGCCAGCGGGATGGGGCCCTCAGCCTCATCCCATGGGAGCCCGGTGCCCCTGCCCTCTGAGCTCTCCTTCCGCTCCCCCACCCCCAGCAACCTGCCCATGGTGCAGCTGTGGGCCGCCCATGCCCACGAAGGTAAGGAGTGTGCCAGGCGGGTGGGCCGAGGGCTGCCAGGCCGCTGGCTGTCCGCAGCACTTCTCAAGTCTGCCCACTGCCCTCCACAGTCACCCCTCCCCTTGGGGCTGGTGGGGCTCAGCGCTGTCACTGATGCTGTCTTCAGAGGCTCAGTGCTTCCTCTCGTCACTGTCACAGGGCCTTTGCACAAGCCGTTCCCTCTGTTTGCCGCCCCTCGCCCCACCCCACTGGCTGTCTCCTGTTCGTCATTCAGGGCTCAGCTTACCCTCCCCGCTTCTCTCACTTGTGACAATGGATTTACCTGTGTTTGTTTATTCATGAAATATGTGTTTTCCTGCCAAAGTGAACTCCGAGGGCAGGGCCTGGTTTATTCTCCCCACTGTCTCCCTGGCACACAGTCAGTTCTTTAATGATTGCGGGAGCAATGGGACGAGGGGCCATTGGGCTCTTCTGTGACATTTGTGCAGTGGTGCCCCTAAATATCGGGGGTCTGCAGGTCTGGCTTCTAGCTGGCTCTGAGCAAATCCTGGGCCTCCCTTGGGCCTCGGTGTCCCTCTGGCAATGAAGGGACGGCCTTGGGGGACCCTGCGCTCCTCCCCCACTCCGGCTCTGGTGGACTTTGGATGCTGAGTGCAAGCTCCCTCTTCCTTCCTCCAAGGTGTCCTGTGGTGCTCCCGGTTCTGGAAGATTAGGGTCCTGGGAGCACCTGCTGCAGGAGGAGCCCATGGTCTCCCCATTTCTGTGCGAGTCTCTCCGAGCACTCCTGCCATCCCCCATCACGTGTGCCCTGCATAGAGGGGGCAGTCTTTGCTCTAGGCCCGGGAGGGTGGGCAGTCCTTCCAGGCTGGGGTCCTCTCTGAACCTCCCACTTTAGCCCTCCAGGGCAGGGCTGGGGGGCCCTGAGAGCGGAGGCTGCCTGTTTCTCCGGGTGCCATCAGCTTCTCTGCCCTCCTTCGCAGTCTGGTTTCTACCACAATGAGTAGTAGCAGTAGTAACAATAGCAAACAGACCGGGTGGTCACTAGGTACCAGGCGTTGCATCGTTGAACTCACTGTCCTCAGAACACTTTGGGAGGTAGGCAGGGACTATGCCCATTTTACAGGGAAGAAGGTGGAGGGACCGGATGCCTACGTAGGAGTGCCGTTTCAGTGACTAAACGAGATAGCGTGTACCGGCTGCTCATTACGTTGTAGTTATGAAGTCACTGTCAGGTGGTGCTATGGGAGAAGCCATGCGCCCCGTGTGCGCAGGGTCAGTCCTGTGTCTCTGGCCTCGGGGGGTGGGGGGTGCTGGGGACACAGGGAGACCCGAGTCCCACCGCAGTCTCCAGTGGGCCTGCGGCCCTAGAGGACCCACAGCCTATCAGAGGCGGCACCCGCCTGCCTGGCCTGGGCCCTGCGCGGGGCTCTTGAGCCTCCATTCTGTGTGCGCCCCGCTGGGTGTCTCGCTTCTCTCTCCGTGGCTGCCCTTCTCTGCACGGCAAGGCCCTGATTCTGGGTCTTACTTGTGGGGGGCTGGGAGGACCCCCCGGCAGGGGATTTTCTTCCTGGAGCCAGAGATGCTGGGTGAGCTGAGGTTCAGAAACGGCGAGTGACCTGCCCGTGGTCCCACAGCAGGGAAGGGGCCCATGAAACCGGCGAGCCTGGTCTGTGTCGGCTGAGGTTGAGTCCCGCCAACCTCGGTTCACAGCCAGGCTCCTGTGCTGTGTGACCTGGGGCTCCAAGCCTCCGTTTTCTCATCCCTGAGCAGGGACGTTAAACGTAAGGCTCCCGTGCAGGGTGGTGGTGCCGCTGCTGGTCTGGAAGTTTAAATGAGAATGACAAGGGCAAAGCAGGTGACAGGGCTTGGCCTCTGCACAGAGTTGCCGTCCTCATCACTGTCCTCTTAGTCGGGTCTGTTTGGCTTCTCTTCCTGTGGATTTGCTGTCCAAGCTCCTGGGGCCTGCCAGGGACTGGGGAGAGGGAGGCCTGAAGTGCCAGGGTGGGGAGCAGAGAGCCTCACGCTGGGGCTCCTTGCTGCATGAGCCAGAGTAGTTTACATCCAAGGAAGAGAGGCGGGAAGGAGGCTCCTGTGGGAGGCACGAGATGGTCCAGCTGGGCTTGTCTTCTCTCTCTTGCAGGCTTCTCCCACCTGCCCAGTGGTCTGTACCCATCCTACCTCCACCTGAACCACCTGGAGCCCCCCAGCAGTGGGAGCCCCCTCCTCAGTCAGCTGGGTCAGCCCAGCATTTTTGATTCCCAGAAAGGTCAGGAGACAGGAGTGGGGAGATGGGGGGTCGGGGGTTTGGGGTAATTTCTGAAGGTCTCCTCTGGGATTCCCACGACCACCACCACTACCCAGTACCCTGGGCGGCCCCCATTCCCTATGGGCCCCCACAGGTTCGCTGGGCCCACCCACAGCCTTCTGGAGCCTTCTCCTTGCGCTCCGCTTGGCTACCCCCTTAGGCCCTCTGGGCGGCTCTTAAAACAGCCTTGATGAGGAAACCAAGGCCCAGAAGGGTTGGTTATTTGACTAAGGCGACGTCTAGGGTCGGCTCTGTCCATTTCTAGAGCCCGCCCTCCCCAGGCGGGGTCA